TTATATACATATATTATATACTATTCTGTATATTATATACTATTATTTATATTATTTATTTATATTAATTATTTATTTATATTAATTATTTATTTGTATTAATCATTTATTTATATTAATTATTTATTTATATTAATTATTTATTTATATTAATTATTTATTTATATTAATTATTTACTCATATTAATTATTTATTTTTATTTATTATTTATTTATATTAAATAATTTATTTATATTATCTATTTGTTTATATTAATTATTTATTTATATTAATTATTTGTTTATATTAATTATTTATTTATATTAATTATTTATTTATATTAATTTTTTATTTTTATTAATTTTTTATTTATATTAATTATTTATTTATATTAATTATTTATTTATGTTAATTATTTATTAATATTAATTATTTATGTATATTAATATTTTATTCATATTATTTATTTATTTATATTAACTATTTATTTATACTACTTATTTATTTATATTAATTATTTACTTATATTAATTATTTATTTATATTTATTATTAAATTTTGTCAATTGTAGTTGAATGAACTGAGAACCACGACTTTGTATTTGTATGCGTTCAATACTGATTTGGCTTGCTTATGTCATTACAATACAATTATATATTAAAGAAATACAATTAACCTCTTAGTTAAGTTCAGAATGGCAACTGAAGTATAAAACGAAAATATAATATAAAATATAAGAGAAAATCGTAGAAATATGGTTTCAGTGAACAAGTAATAAATAAATTCTGTGTATATCCTTAATGTATTTGGCTTTCCCTACTTCCTCTCTACTCATTCTTTTATGCCCATTATTGCAACATTTATTATTTCTCATTACAATTTTTCATGGAATTTATGTAAAGGATCCATATTTATGTTGCTTCTGTTACTGTTACTGCTCCTATAAATGTAACTGCAACTGCAACTGCAATTGCAGCCGTTGTTGCTCTTGTACTCGTAGTTGCTGTTACTGCAGTATCTGTGCTTGTTCTTATTGCATAAGGACTTCACCAAAACGTTTGCAAATATAAGCGCACAACTTGTCAAAGCTCCGCACTTCGTTTTGAGTTATTTCGAGGTTTTTTTGATATTTTTTCCGTTTGTTCAACCCAATTTGCAAAGAAGTGTCTACATCTTGAATATTTATACTGTAACGGCTTTCTATTTGAATTTAAAAATGGCACCAGCTGTTTCCTGTTATAAATTGCTCACTTGTTCGCCACATCATTCTTGCAGAAAATCGTGCAAAAGTGTTACTAAATTGCAATTTCGAATCCCACTTTCCTTTCGCTTTCACTTGCTGCTCGGAGCACATGACATGGAAAGGGTTCTCGCAACTTATACTGCAGATTTTCACTGTTTTGATTCGTTTTCAAAATTTGTTTTATTATTTGTTGCCTTTCTCATAATTTTTTTCCGTACTTTCCGTACTTTCCGTATTTTTCTACTCGAAAATTTTGTGGGTTTATGCTCGTATGCCATATAAAAATGATTGCGGTATTTTGTGGCACTGCTACTCGTATTCTCAAGTGTTGGAGCGTTAGATACAAATTTACAAAAAATACTAATAAAATCTAAACTCAATTTATGAGAAGTGTTTTTGAAGGGTCGATAGCAGTTTTTCTACCACAAAATCAAACTGCAAGCGTCGTGGTGTTGCGAAAGAAAAAAGTTTGGCTTAGGGGTTTCAACTAACCAAACTATCAGCAATCAAATCCAAGTAAAAACTTTGGAAATGATCAAAATCAAAAGCAGAAAATAATATCCATTGCAAATTAAATGTAGTGGGTTAAATAAATTTAGCAGTTTAAGCTTAAACTTAACTGCATAGAGAAGGGTGAACACAAGGGTAAACACTTCACGAGAAAATGGCTATTGAAGAAATGCAAAGGATTTATGCAAAGGATCTGTGATCATCTAATGATGTTCATCTGATGTTTGTTTAATTCAAATAATTTAGTATAACAGAATAAAATATGAGGGCGCTAGAACAATAGTGTTTAAAAAAGTAGGAAAAGAACGAGAAATCTCGTTCTCGAATGGGTTACCTCAAAACTATGGCTTGTGTGCTTACTGAAGCAAAATAATTGTGTAGGAGGTACCATGACGAAGAAGAGAAGGAATCCATTAATCAGTTTTTATGTCTTTGTCTAGAAATACAGATGAGTTTGACAAGTTAAAATTGTCTAGGAGATTAATTCATCAGTCAGACGGAGATAACAATGGAAAAATTGTTTGATCCTTAGATCAAAGCAGATGAAGTTATAAAGGAAGTAGCCGTTTGCGCGCATCTCAACTGAAAATAAATGTCTGTAAGTTGAAGTGTTGATATTTTGTAATTATTCGTGCCTTCTCAACCTTATCTTTATCTAGTATAATAGAATTTGATTTAGCAAACTTTAAATGAATTAAAAGAGATTTAAGAGAATTAAGAGATGTTGCTGATAAAGTTCATTTCGAAGGGTTTTTTTTGTTTTGTTCACACAACTTTTTGAAAAGTCAAACTTATACTCATAATGCTTAAATAATTGACAGAACTTATACTAAATCTATGTCCTTTAATCGACGATTTTCCAGAACAATATTCTCTACGATATCTTGCGTTAATGCAGTTTTGGACATTCTACATTTGGATGGTTTTCAATACTTTAACGATTACTTTCAAACAGAAACGAATTGGGTATAGATTTACATAATACATTCACTATTTCGATATGTGGTTCTATTGTGTTTCAGTGTTTTTGTAAGAATGGTTTGTAAACAAAGAATGAATTTTTTAGATCGGCAATATTATAATAATTTGTTATCGGGCTAATTGGTCAAATTTAAATAGAAATAAAAAAGACACTAATTTATTATTTATATTTAAAATCGTTTATACTTTATTAAAAATAATTCTTCCAATATTTCGACTATCTTCGACTATCTTCGTCATCTTCAGGGAAAACTAAACAAAATACACGATGTTCCATTTTTATAGCAGAACCATTATAAAGAAAAATTATACAATAAATACAATAATAATAATGACAATCGGCAATATTGTTATAAAAGATCAGAAATAAAAACCGCGTAATAATTTATGTTTTACTATATATGAATCGATCTCGTTTCTTGAATTAATTGACCAATCTAGTATTTGTATGTGATTAAGCATTTGGCATTTTATATAATGTTGTATTATGTTGTAAGTATATTCAGTCGTTTGTATTACTTTCTTGTAGCGTTTATTATATAGTTATTGACGCTTCTTTTTTTAATTCCAGCGCTTCAAACCTGATTATTTTGAGGACTACGAGAAAATTGGTTATAAACACACATTAGCAACATTTTATTCAAAAACTGTATTCTGGTGGCTTAATCCGTTGCTGTGGTTTGGCTATAAGGAACCACTAGAATTAGAAGATTTAGGTGAGATGCGCCTTGAGGATAGTGCCAGAGCTCATTACGATCAATTTTTGTTAATTTATAAGACAGCCAAAGTGGTAAGTACTGAATGCAATAATAATATTCAATCGTAAGTAATTAAATGATATATATATTCTAGAAAAATAATGACCGACCACCATCCTTGTGGTATTGTTACTTAAAATATAGTTGGCGTATGTTTAGCTTGGGTGGAATACTTAAACTTTTTGGTGATTTGTTTTCGTTAATTGGTCCACTTGCCATACAACAAATCGTTCAATATATTGAAGTAATGTACAATGCACATTACCCCACATTACCGCAATTAAATAACAACAACCTCACAATGCATTCCAGTAATCTCAGCAATTACAATTCCGCTTACAACTACAACAACAATAATAAAGCCGGCAACATCAGCAACCACATCATCAGCAACAATAATAATTTATCAATTACCCTGAGAGGATTAAAAAATTTGTACAATGACAGCTTACGTAACAATAGTAGCGGCAATCACATTTCCACAAGAGCAACAGGATCGATTTGGCTACCAAATCCTGGCGACAATGGCAACAATCAAATTGCAAATGACATTTATTACGATGGCGCTGAAGTGAAAATTTACTATCCAAGTTGGTTAGATTTAGTGTCGAACGGGTGGGCAATTGCATGGATTGTGTTGTTGGCGGCACTGGCGCAGGGTGCACTGTCGCAGGCCTCGACGCATATACTCAATATGACGGGAATTCGTATTAAGACATCGCTGCAGGGTTTGATTTATCGTAAAACGTTGCTGCTGTTGAATTTCAGTTACATGGATAACGGCCCGGATGGTATTCCAAAGGGCAATAATAATAGTATGGATGAAAATAAATACGAAAGAGAGAAAGACGAACTTCAAAACACCGCCACAACATCATCAACGCAAACGTCAACGAAGGATAATAGTTTTGGTGGAGGCAGCAGTGGAGGTAAGGTTTGACTATTTTTTTATATAGTGCATTATTTCTGGGTGTCAGAACAATGCATTTCGGATGTGCAGTTTCCTTAAGTTATAGGAAAATAAATTTTAATTAAAGTGTATTGAAGTGTTATCCATTCTATGGAAGCTTAGTATTGTTTTGATAAGGCTTTGTAATGCCCGAAATGCATATTGAATTGAGAAAAATTTAAGTGAAGTAGTAATGGCAATATACATTATACATAATATACATATATTATCTAGATTAAATTAAATTCATTTTTTTCATAAAAAAAAGAATATTTTTTAAAGTATGTATTAGTGTTGCTGAAAAAGCTACGCTTTCTTTATAGTGAGAAAGAAGCTATATTTAAAATTTCGAGGGTTTTCGAATAGCAAAGAAAGAAAGAATAAACAAAAATTTATTTAATTTTATTGAAATTTGGCTGACCACACAACGCTGTGTCGAGCCAAGTGCTTGGTTAATTAAATAAAAAATTAAATAAAAACTAATTAAATACAAAAGTGACAAAAAAACCTGGAACTACAGTACTGAAAATTTGTGCAGCCTTTGCTATTCTAAGCCTGGCACTTACAGTCCAAACAAATTATATACGGACTATAATTTAATTAAAAAAAAAAATTCGATTATTTTCTAAGACCACTGATAATAAATTAAATTAATTTCGTGCTTATCTTTTGTTTGCTATTCGAATCCGTCTAGCTTTTAAATAAAACTATTTTGTTGCTAATTGTATGCAAAAACGTTTGTTTGGAAATTTAGTGGTACATTACATCATTGAATGTTTTTAAATAGCACTTTCTAAAATTTGTGTACTTTTTTGTATATAAATTTCTTGTAAACGTTATTGTGTTGTGAAATAGTAATCTTCTTTAAGAAGAGTTCCATTTTAATATTCTCAATCCCATGTTTTATGTTTATAACGTAGGTGTTGTTCAGGTGTTTCAATTTAAAATTTGTTATGAAAACACAAAACAACGTATTTATTTATTTATGATCCATAATTTCATAAATTTATTTTTCAATTAAATAATTTTGTACTATTATAAATAACAAATAAAATGTTTAAATACGGTCATTACTAAATCTTAAAAATATGTTGCAGAATAACACAAAGTTTTTTTTTTTTTTTTTTTATTTTATTTTATTTTAATTGTATCTTTCTGATAAGAAATTGACAATTATGTAATCAAATCTTAAAAACTAAACATAATGCAATTAGCAGGTGCAAAAAAGGAGTTTAAACTTTATAATAAAATGAAATGGATTATTATTATCAAAATTTATATCAACATTTTTAGTAAAATTACGTTAAGGTGGTACGAAGCTTTTTCGCTTAAGTCTAGATATTGTGGTATCAGAAAGCAGCTGTTGCGCCATTGGATTACTATGCTGGTGAAGTTTCACTTTATATTTTTGGCCGCATGTTGTAATGACGTCTGCAATAGTTGGGATTCCAAGATCGTTGTGGATATGTACATTTTTGAGATACCAAGGAGCACCGGTTATTTGTCTAAGTAATTTGTTTTGAACTCTCTGTATTTTTTCGATATTAGAAGCACATGCTGCACTCCAGAGTTCTATACCATAGGACCATATAGGTTTTAAGATTGAATTGTATACCAGGACTTTATTTTCCAGAGTTAGCTTAGAGTTTTTATTAATAAGCCAAGAAGCTGCTGTGATTTTAATTTAATTTGAGATTTTTTGCTTTCAATGTGCTTAGTCCAAGTCAGCCTTCTATCAAGATGAATGCCAAGATATTTTACATCATGTGACTGAGGTATAATGATGTTATTCAACTTAACAGGGGGGCACGTTTCTTTTCGCAGAGTAAACGTGACATGCACACTTTTCGTTTCGTTTACTTTTATGCGCCATTTTGCTAGCCACTTCTCCAATAGACTTAAGTGAGTCGAGAGACTTTGGGACGCCCTTATGTGGTCACTGTTAGAACTAAGAATTGCAGTGTCGTCCGCGAAAGTAGCAAGTGTGTGATTTGAGAGTAGTGGGAGATCAGCTGTATAGATTATGTACAGAAACGGCCCCAATACGCTTCCTTGAGGAACACCAGCCATTATGTCGATTTCTCTTGAAATAAAGGTATTGTATTTCAATCTAAATTTTCTAGATGATGTATATGAATACAATAGCTTATGCATATTTTCAGGAAGATAACGTTTTATTTTATACATAAGACCTTCGTGCCAAACCTTATCAAAAGCTTGGGCTACGTCCAAGAAAACGGCGGAACAGTATTGTTTGTGTTGAAAGGCAGTATGTATTTCTTTAGCAATTCTGTGAACTTGCTCAATAGTGCCATGTCCTGTTCGAAATCCAAATTGATGGTTTGGGATCACTTTGTTTTGAGTTATTATTGGCATAATATATGACAGGAGCATTTTCTCAAAGATTTTGGATAACTGGGGCAAAAGACTAATTGGTCTATATGATGATGCCAAAGTTAGGTCCTTTCCTGCTTTTGGAATCATTTTTATTTCTGAAACTTTCCATTGCTTCGGGTAGTAGCCAAAAGCGAGGATGCTGTTAAATATCACCGTTAGAAAAGTTATTGCTGAATCAGGCAATTGTTGTATCATTTTACCCGTAATTTTGTCGTACCCAGGTGCCTTTTTGGGATTTGCAAATGTTCGAATAGTCTCCTTGACGTTATCCAAACACAACGTAAGGGGAGTTTCAACAATAGAAGGAGATTCGATGTTAGGTTGGAAATCTGATAATTGTGGGTTTGGCTGAAAGACACCCTTTAGGTGTTCTGCTAAAATACAACCTTTTTCTTCGTCATTGCGAGCCCAAGAACCATCCGGTTTTCTTAGCGGTGGGTCATTTTGTATTGGCGTTTTAAATTTCTTCGTTGCCTTCCACAGAGAATAGTTGTTTTCTTTAAGTGGACCAAGTGACTCGAGATATTCTTGTAAAGAGCGGTTTTTGTCATCAGATAGTGCTTTTTTAAGATCTT